AATTTTAAAATTTTAATATATTTTAATTTTTAAATTTTAAAATAATAAATATAATTTTTAAACTAATTACGTTAAATTGTTTTTATGTGTTAAAAGCATTTTTCAATAAATATTAAAATAGATATTTATTAAAATATTTAAATAATTCAAATACTAATCTAAAACACATTTAATTATAAATAATTTAATTTCATTGAATTAAAAAATCATATTTATTATTTTTTACATTTAAGAATTAAAATATATTAAAATTTTGAATATAAACAAATTTTAATTTTATATTAAATTTTAAATTTTAAATTCAAAACCAATCACAAGGTTCTTTCTCTAAATATTTAACCCATTACACCTCAAAATCATATAACACAATACTTGTCTATATGTAAGATGATTTATTTGAAATATATTTTACTTATATATGTAATACTAAACTAGTGGACGTGAGCCCATTTTCCTTTTATGATGATAAAAATAAATAATAAAATTATTATTATTTTAATTATAAAAATAAATACAAATAGTGTTTAAATTTTATTAAAAGTGACTTTTATTTATCTTGTTGGTATATTTTTATTGTAGTTAATTATTTTAGTTTTAAAACATGGTTAAATTTGAAGAAGAAAGTAAAAAACAGATTAGAATAGTGTTGAAAATTTTAAGTGTAATCATTTTTCAAAACTAAAACCTCAATGACGTTACTCTGAAACACGAAATTTCAATCCGCGTCCATGAATTTCAGTGATTGTCACATTTGTTCTCACACACGCTTCAACAAATATCACTAGGGGACCTTATAAATTGTGACTAGGAATGTGCTAATATTACAAATTTGAAGACTTTAATGACAACAATGTCAAGTTCCTCAACCCTAGTTCTTATTCTGCTGTCTCTTCACAGCATCTCTTTCTTAGAGGCTCACAAAGGTGGGTTCAGTGTGGAAATCATCCACCGTGACTCATCAAAATCACCGTTGCATCGTCCCACAGAAACTCAATTCCAACGAGTTTCTAATGCAGTGCGTCGTTCCATTAATCGTGCCAATCATTTCAACCAAAACACACCTAAGACCAATATAACACAAAATGATGATGAATACCTTTTGAGCTATTCAGTTGGAACCCCACCATTTCAAGTTTATGGTATTGCTGATACAGGAAGTGACATAATTTGGTTGCAGTGTAAACCTTGTAAACCCTGTTACAACCAAACCAGTCCAATGTTTGACCCTTCAAAATCCAGCACATACAGAACCCTTCCTTACTCTTCTACAAGATGTAAATTGGTGCAAGATACCACTAAAGATGGAGACAATTGTGAATATACCATTTCCTATGGTGATGGGTCACAGTCACAAGGAGATCTCAGTGAGGAGATCCTCACTTTAGACTCCACCAATGGCTCTTCAATCCAATTTCCAAGAACTGTCATAGGATGTGGACGAAGGAACACTGTGTCCTATGAAGGGATGGGTTCTGGTGTAGTTGGCCTTGGAAGAGGACCTGTGT